AAACAAATTTTTTTAAATTTAATAATAAAATATAATAATATATAACTTTTGATCTACTAAACCAATTTGAATGATTTAACTACTAAAATAATTTTCTTAATAAGGGCTTTCTAATAAGTCTAAAATTATCAAAAACAAATTACTAAGTCTGAAGATTAAAATAAAATTATACTTTAATATATAACTAATAAATTATAATTTTGAGCCCTAAGTAAACTTATTTAAAATATAAATATATACCATAATAATGTATTTTGAGTGCTAAACAAGTTTACTTAAAGCCTAAAGTTATAATTTGTTAATAAAATTTTGTATTATACAGAATTTTCTAATTTTTTATTAAGCAACTGAAAATATTTTTGGCAGCCAAAATTATTTACAGTTTAGGCTGCCTAAAATATTTTCAGCAAGCAAAAATAATTTAGACACTAGTACTTGGCACAATCAAACAAAAATTTGACAGTTAAATACTTGTTAATACTTATGTTTAAATCAGATGTCAAACTATTGCAGATTAACCAAAGCTAAATATATACTATTAGTTAATCTGCAATCATTTGATTTTTGACTTAATCACAAGTATTAACAAGTATTTAACTGTCAAATTTTTGTTTGATTGTGCTGAACACTATTAGGCACCCATCTGTAAATATATTAGAATTCATCAAAGTAAAAGTAAATATGGAAGTATTTGATTTCATAATATAAGACTTGTTACCTCGAATATGTCATTATTATGATTGGTGTTCTTCTTTACCAATACTTAGATCAATATTTGTACCAAATAAAGTAATATTTTTTCGTCAACATTATAGATATCTCATACTTCTCATAAAAATTAGACATTTTATTAATTGAAACAACCACTAATAGCACTTAAATTATTATCAATATTAGGCTATACAAACTTAATAATTTAGTTTTCATAACCTAAAATTTTCAAAAGTGACCCGGCATCCCGGCTTTTAATTTTATTTTCAAAAAATTTTATATATAACTAGTTCGATGGGTAGCGCTTTGCGCCACCCATCTTATTTGTTATTTTGTTATTAATATTTTTTACGACTGTTTATTTAGTTTTTTTTTATTTTTTAGTTATTATTGCACCTATTAATTGTTGTGGGTTCTGGTATTCTGTATATTTATTGATTAGTTTTTTTTTTTGTATCATTTTAGAATCTACTTGTAATTAAGCGATTTGTATTTTATAAGATTTATTACACATGTAATTATTGATCTTTCAGTTTAGGTAACCAATGCTTATTTTGAATTTATTTATATGTTTATTATATGTTTATATTAAATGTGGGAATTGATTTGTTGCGTGGATAAGAGTTTATGCTTTATTGGTTTAGTTCGTTAGTTTAAAGTTTTAGTATTTTTAATTTATTTAGATGTAATTCATGAATTAAAATTTAATTCTATGAAGCAAGTTTTTTTGTATGTACTTATATACTATAGCACGTTTGTAATATGCTGGGAAGATCGTGATTTACAAATTTGGTTAGTTCTTGAGTGTACTTACATATCTGCATTGATTAAATGGTCTATGTTGTAATAGATTTTTGTTTGCATAATATCAGGTGTTTTTTGCTAAGTTATATTTTGGTATAATATTTATCGTTTGATATTATCTACAGTGAGTTTGCTGATTGAGATAGTCAATAATATTTTCATAATTCGTTGATTTTAATTATCATTGTAAAATTGTGAGAAATTTTCCTGTGATTTATTTATTTAGTCTTAATGATGATTTATATATATTTAATTATAGATATACTTGTTGGTATTATATAATTAGTTTTGTTGCATGATTGATGAAAATTGTGTAATTATTACGCATCTTGTTAAAGTTTTCAGTAATTATTACGTTAGAATTAGAAAAAAAAAATACTGTATGTTGTAGTTTTGTTTATGAGTATTTATTCATTTTTTATTTGATCAGAAATTAAATTATAAATAATTAGTTTTGTTGCGTGATTGATGAAAATTGTGTAATTATTACGCATCTTGTTAAAGTTATCAGTAATTATTACGTTAGAATTAGAAAAAAAAAATACCGTATGTTGTAGTTTTATTTATGAGTATTTATTTATTTTTTATTTGATTAGAAATTAAATTATAAATAAATAAATATTGGGTTGCTTTTTTTTTTCAAAAAAAAAAAAATATTACTGAAAAAATAACTAAAAATCAGTTTTAATTTTGATATTTAATATTTACCATGCTGTGTTATGCGGATACAATTGTCAGAATTGAGTATGTTCGTAAGACTGAAAAAGTTGATGCTAGTTTGATGGTTGTTTGGGCTATTGGTCTTTATCCCATATATCGTGAGCAAAATGAGATTGAATTAGTTTTATTTGTACCTGTTAATTTTGATAAAAGGGATTCAGAAACCCAGGCTGTTTTCGAGAAAGACAGTTTTTATTCAGTCAGCAGAAAAATTGTGTCTAGTTATTTTGGAAGTAATAAAAGACCTAAGGTACTTGTTATTATTCAATCATTTCTGGCATTACTATATTTTTATTTATCTTTCATTCAATTTTAGATGACAGTTTCTATTTAAACTGGCATATCTATTTTTAACAAAGTTGCTAAGTTAAATAAGTGCCCATTAAAAGTTTTTTTGGTTGGATCTTCTCAAGAGTCACCATGGTTATTGGCAAATGATGATGCTATTTTCGATGTGTTAATAAATAATTATGCTGGTCAGGAGCATAATTTCATTGTTAAAGTTGTTTTTCCATATTTAAATTCACGATTTTCACATTTAAAGACTCTGATTCATCAGCAAGCATTACTTATTTTTGTTGTTGGGCAGTTAGAGATTATTGATAATACTTTTTATGTTTATGCAAAAGATATCAATTTTATTAATACTCAATTATCATTTAAGCAAAAAATGTTTGATAATAGTAATTCATCTGAAGCTATTAATACCATTCAATCGAAACTTCTTTCTACTCATCAAAATGTTATTGAAGATTTGAAAGGATCTTCTAAAGCTAAGGCAACATCCTTTACTTTAACAAATAAATCAGATAAAGAATCTGAGTTCAATTTATATTCTTCGAGGAGTACCTTTTCATCAAATTGCAAAAAGTCTGAATACCCTGGTAAATCTGCAGATGTTTTAGATAGCAAATTGATGATGATTTCGATCAAGATGAAACTGTTGATACGAATATACTTGATCAAGACGATGAAAGTGAAGGAATTCAAAAAAAGAAAAGACATCAAAAGAGCACTGTTAACAATTATAAAAAGGGTGATGAAAGTGCTCATCAATCTTTGAATAATGTAAACGATTATAATCTTTATCAAGACGAAGTCATTGATACGAATGAAATTAATCAAAATAACGAAAGTGAAGAAATTCAAAAAAAGAAGAGAGGTCAAAAGAATACCGTTGGTAGTAGTATTAAAGGAGGTAAACGTGGTAGTCATTCTTTACGTAGTACTTCCAGATTAATTAATGTGAATCATAGTGCAAATGTTAAAACCAAGCAAACTTATTAAATATATTCGCTATTACATTTTATATCTATATATTTTTATTGCATGTATACATATATATTTTATATTCTTTATTTGCTAGTTTGTTTAGCATATAGCATATTGTAGTTAATTATTTAAAGCATTTATTATTATGTTAAATTCATTTTCACATGCAGCATAAGAGTTGCATATTTTATTTTTGGTTTTAGTTTTAAATGATGTAAATAAATTGCTATTATTTTGGTAGCATTTTTTGTATTGCGAATTTACAATAACTTATTTATTTATATACTATCTTGTACTTAAATAAATTTAGCAATATTATTTGTTAGACTTAGATTCAGCAGTTATAAGTTTAAATTGTATTAGAAGTGTTTCATATCAGTACAATTATTTATAGATTTTATTTTTAACACTTAAAATTTGTGCATACTTGTTCAGATAGTTTTATTTTCGCTAGCAAAAAAAGGACATTTTTTTTATTATTTACAATTTCATACATAATTCCACAGACATAATTGTTTAAGTTACCCAAGCAACTCCAGAAATACAACATTCTTAGTCAACAAATTTGTTGAACAGTTTTTATCAGTAAGTATTAAAATATGATTTCATTGCCGAACTCGTGTAAGAGCAGTATATAATTGTCTATGACTAAATACTGGTGTGTATAAGTTAAGTGCAACTCGATCTAGTGTTAAACCTTGTGAAGAGTTAAAGGTTGAAGAATAAGCGAGTCGTAAGGGAAATTGATGGCGGCTGATCTTGAATGGAAATTGAGGTACACAGAATAAGAAAGTGATCCTTGGTAAGTAAATTACAGAACCCATTGCAGGGTTCTGTACAGTGACCAATCTTTGTCCTATATCCAGAATAATAACTCTGCTATTTTTACATAAGCCATCATGTATTGAGAGATTCCTCATTATAGTTGCAACGCATCCCTTCTTTAGAGTCAGACAGTGCTTTGGTATTTCAGATGCATTAAACGTATTTAATAATTCAACCGATATCATATTTCTCTGAGCTTGATTTGTTCTTGTATCATCATCTGCTAAGCTATCTGTACTATACAAATCAACTGCATCACCTCTTAATCTTTGTAAAATAATTTCATTAATAGATTCTACTTCTGAATTTAACAGACAAAGAATCGCACATTTTTGGCATTTATTCGGTTCATTTAACACAGTTTCAGGAAAGGCAAAATCAATCACATCATTTATTTCATGGGTCATTTTTAATAATGCCAATGATACATCTTCACCATCGACACCATCATCTATTTTGTCCATTAGTTGAGAGTATCCTAGATCATGAACATCACGAACAGGTCGTTTAAGTTCATAAACCTCAAATGATTTTCAAATTGGAGAAGACTTAATCGACTCTAATATTATAGCTGTTTGACCAGAATGTGGAATTACAGGTGCGACTTGATGAAAATCGCCTATCCCAATAAATATTTTCCTACCAAATGGCAAATCATTGTTGCAAAGTTTTTGAAGAAAGATATCAACTGCCTCGATATTACCTTTTCAAGCCATTGGTAATTCATCCCAGGTTATAACTGATGATTTTTGAATTAGTTTAGCACGATCACTATCTAAACTTATTTGACATTTATACCCTTCATCATTATCTTCAATTGGAATACAGAATAAAGAGTGTGCTGTACGCCCCCATCATAATTTAATGCTGCTAAGCCAGTTGTTGCACAAAGAAGTATTATTTTTTTTAAACATCTTATGGCAATACATATAACATTGATCAAAAATGTTTTTCCATGTCCTGCACACCCATTTATAAAAACTAATAAGGGTTTGTTTTTCAATACATGATTCATAATTTTTTGATAAATGCTCTTCTGTTCAAAGTTAAGCTTACTTATCATTTTATCACGTGTTGCAATCAGCGTATTGTAATCATTGTAACGTGCTTGAATGCGTGTTATTTCATCAAGATGTTCTGATGGCTGAGGTAAACCAAATTGCGTTATTTGGCTACCATGCTCTTCTAAAAAACTTGCTATCCACATTAAAGCTTCATTCTCTCCTGTTGGATATCACCTTTCTTATTAATATAATCTGCCGATAATAATTCATGATGGATTTGCCAAACAGATTGTGCCGCCATACCTTCTAGTATAAGATGACAAAAAGGCAATCTAAGCTGTGCCGGAGTACATTTGTAAGTTACAGCTTCAGCAAAGCATTGCTCATTTTCATTTACATCCTCTAATAATCCAAAGGCACGTGCTGCATCTTGAAAGTTTGAGTATAATGTATCATTTACTATACATAGTTCTCTAAATGACCTAGCCGCATGACAACTTAAAAGCATGCGAAGATAATATTTTTCACCCACACATGGCCGTATTATGTTCATTCTTGTTACATGTGTATGATTTGGCTTATACGGCTTGACAATACATCGTTGACAACCTTCTTGTTCTTTTTCCAAATAATTATTTGGAGGCAGTGATTGTTGATTGACTAAATCTTTAGCATAAGTAAATGTATACAATTCGTAGTACTCAAAATAAGTAAGTGCATCAAATTCTATATTTGTTGGGTGGAGAAAATAACGTTGTAAGGTAGAAAGATTATTATTACCTCACCATAATATAGTTTGTTTACCAGGTAAATGAACTGGCAAACATGTTACTAATGGTAATTGCGAAGTTATTCTGTACTTAAAAATGCGCCAAACTGCTTCCATTGCAGAAAGATAACGTGCATTAATATAATCTTTAATCTCATCAATCATTTCATCATTTTCTCCTACATGAATAGTGACCGATGCCCGATCTGGACCTTTGTAAATATACTTATAAAGGTATGAGACTACATGTGAAGTAGAAGCTACTTTAACATTTATATGCGAATGTAGTTTCAACAAAAGAAAAGGATTGTATGGTACAATATTTTCATCATTTTCAGTATGTCGTCGATAATGAACATGGCTATATTCATTTACTGTAGTACTTTCTCGCAAAGGTTTAGGATAATTCCAATGACAACTATTACCATGTTGTACACACCTCGAAGTACATTTATGAATCATATATTGTTTTACTAAGTTACAAAGATCACTTTGTTGAAGATTATTACCCACAGGTAACTCAGCACTTATCACTTTATCAATATTCTCAGGTTCAAGCAGGTTTGGAGATGATTTAATTATTATATGAGCGTGTGGTAAACCACGCTTCTGAAATTCAATAGCATGCATAAAATAAACTATTTTTCCAAAGTATGTTTTTAATAATTTATGCAAATAGGTTAAGTGTTGCTTAAATACTCGTACCACAATATCTGGTCGGTCAGCATAATTCTGGCCAGTATGTAGTTGTTGCCGTATTTCTGGCCAGTTGGGATTCATAGTAAAAGTAATAAACAATGTAGGTTGACCTAGTTTACTCACTGCTGCAAGAGCATCCATCATTTTTTTGTAAGACCACCTATACGAAAGCGTGTGTGATGCTGGTAAATAAATATTCTTCGGATATAACTCAGCTTCATCATAAACTGTTTCATCATTTTCATAATCCTTTTTCTTGAATCGATATTGTTCTTGACGTATATACTGTAAGCGTTCATCATCTGCTCGGCTAAACATATCTACTAAATATTCATTAAAAAGACGGCCAAGCAAATGAAATCGAGTTTCAGACATAATACGATAACGATAATAATCCACTTGAGAAATTTTTTGTAGTTTTGAATTTTTAGGATCTATCCAGTACATACGCCAACCTATTTCACCATGCGGAAAAAATAATGGATACTGTAATGCTTCATAATTTTCATTTAATATACTAATATAATTAGGAATTTCTTCACCAACACGCCAAATTTGTACATGCCGTTCCCGTATTACAGCTGTTGAATGGATGATCGTGCAAGCAGCAACTTCAGCATTATTTGTTGGTTGTTGAATTATCAAACGTGCCTGAGGATAATCTACATCGTATAGTTGATATAAACCTCTAACGAATGGATTAACAGTAGCCAATTCTTGCTCAATCAGTTTTACTATTTCTTGGTCAAGCTTACGTTGATTAGCAACACAATTTCGTGCTTCAGCATCATAAACAAACCAATTTGTCGGATACCCTTTAGCATTAGCAGGATAAACTTGATGATAAGCGCGACCATTAATTGCAAAAGCATGTGGATGCGGTAAGCGAACTACACCACCCATATAACCAAAAACCGTGAAAGAAAATAACGAATTGTATTGACGACTGTTATGACAAAAATTATCAGGGTCCGAATTATAAAGATTCTGTAAGGTAAGTGGCAAGGGATGAAGAGGCGGAATAGTACGTCGTAACATGTTATTACAGCAAAAATTTTTTGGTTCTGATGAAAGAAGCTGTGAACCGCATTCAGGACATAAACGTTTCCATGTAGGATTGTAGGTATTTATACGACAGTTATTACACAAATTTGATAATGTTTCCCACCAGTTTTGGCGATTGTTATATGTAGCTGTAGGAATTTCACTGTCACTCAGTGCCAGGTTACGCACGCGTTCATTGTTGGTAAAGTTTTCGCGCTCAGAAAATTGTCGACGACGTGCAGGTCTGCCCATAGGTTTTTTTTTTACAATCACGATAATA